TAGAGCAACAAAAAAATAAAATTTTCAGTTTCAAAGGACTCTCAGGCTATGGAAATCACCAAACTTTGGTGGCCATTTTCTTGTCTATTTTACCTATGACACCAGGTGACCCTCACGTGCAAATATCTCGAATTCTATTCAAGATAGATGGGTATTTTTTTCATCAAAAGATAGACAAATGAAAAAGCTTTAAGATGATACTAAGAACTCCAAACGCCCAAAAATTGACGAGCCCCTGATTCTTCTGCATCGTGACACATATTTGCAAAGAACTTTTACCATAAGATTAAAATATAATTAACCCCTAAAGAATTTGCAGCAAAAGAGGCTCCGCTCCATCTATTAACTCAAATGCCACAACCACCATTGTTTGTAATTCATACTTTGAATAATGCCACAAGCAACCATGTTTATTGTAACTCAGGCGACAAATACTGCAACAATATCACCATTATGGATTTGTAATTCAAGCTGTGAACAAAAGCTTACCCAACATTGAGCATCTTGTAACGGGAAAGTTTGAATTAACACCAGAGGCAAAGAGTGACATAATCTAAACACATCATTAAATTTGAGGAACTCATGCTTGCTATGACCAACACCAATGTCAACATGATTGGGATGATATCATCACTACAGGCTAGCACACACATAGCGAAATCCATGAGAAGCGTAAATCATTGTGTATGAATTTTGCTCTGTACAAATTTCAGGCAATATAGGGAGACCGACAAAATTGAACAATGGGTCAAACTTTTTCATAAACTATGCCTCCTGCCTATGCCACGGCAACATGGGCAATGGGTAATTAGTTGTTTAAATTTTCACAGTTTTGGGGTTTTAACATTTAATTTTTCCCACCTCTGCTAGAATCTTTTTTTTTTCTTGACAGGAGCTGAAAATCTGCTCACTTTGTGCGTTTTCCAATATGTGCGTGCTAGACTATATAGAAATATTTGATAAAAACAGCCGTTTCTCACACACAAAAGAGGACTTAAAAATCTTTGTAAGTTTGTATTTCAAAACGAGAAGTAGATGGTGTCATCCCTAAAGTTAAGTCTGGAGAAGTCTTATTTATCGCAGAAGGGAAAAATAATTCCGACCCATTTTTATTCAATCCATCTATATAATTCGAGAGTCATTTTGGCCTATTTATTTTGAGCACAGGAAAAAAACTATGTACACTAGATGTTGAACCATGTTTACTAAAAAAAACAAGACATCTTATGACTGTTGTAGAAGATCACCAACTTGGCTAACACAAGAGTGACAATTTCCACACCATGTTCACATAATACCATTTTTCTTTCTCTTTCAGTACGAATTTTCAAACACATCAACACATCAGTTAGTCACGAGAAAGCAGTACTGTAAATGATAGCACTTTCTTTTTATACCTCTGTCCACACAATTCAGATTATTTAGAAGGCGAGCTGCTTCCATGGTGCCCTTCAGGGCCAACCTAGGCTGAGAGGGATCTGACATACCAGCAGATTGACGAGGGTACTCCATAAAAAACATTTCCTAGTGTGAGAATCAAACTTAACATCTTCCGCAAATGACAGCACAGAGCCTAACAATTACACCACAGACACTAGTACAGCTACTACAAGGCTTATTAGCCCGAGGTCAGTTCGGCGTAGGCAGCTCACATGATAAGGTGAACAATACTATCCAGCAATGCTTGCCAGTCTGTGTGATATTACCTGCTAAGGGGCGATTTAAGTTTGGTAGACGGTGGGGACCACCCAGGTAGTGACAGGTATTATCTAATGCCCTGCTTGGAAATACATGTAGGTTGGCAGTACGGACATTTTAGCTTATCTCAAAGCTGGCAAAAGTGGGTGCAGGCTATAAAAAGTTTGACAAGCACTGCTGTACAGTAACAAAAGCACCATAACTAACACTGAACAACAATTGCCTAGATATACAAGTGGATACAAAGCATTGTTTTCACTCAATATACAGGCATGCAATCATGGTAACCACATCAGTCACAATGACAATCAAATAATATTTTGTTACCATTCAGAGTGGGAAGAAAAATACACAGCACTTCTTAATAACCAAATGAGATTGCCATGAATCATTTGCTTGTCAGGTCTCCACAATTATTTTGTTCTTCTGTCAGAGATGGAAAAGAAAGTCTAGAAGTTCATGCAAAATGTAAAAGTGCAAGATTTTTTAAAATGTGCACACTCTCTATAATGGATACTGAAAATTAGACCAGTTTTTCCAAAGCAATGGCAAGAAAGGAGCACTTCATAACAGCATTATTTTAAGGGGACAAGGGAGCCTTAAATTATTTCCCTCACTACTATAATAACGTCCTTACTGGTCTCCAAAACGCAGCCCAGCACCTTTATCACAACCATTGACATCTAAGTAAGGGCAATTTAGTCCAGCACAAATGATCAAAGTATAAAAAAAGACATTAAAAAATTTAAAAAGAGGTTATTTAACATGCTCACTTTTGGGTCAAGAAAAAATATTACAACAAAAGCATGCCAATCTCACACAGCACACAATAGTCACATACACACACACACATATCCTTACAGTGACTTTCCTTTAAACACAGAATAAGAAAGATACTACTCCCGAATGCACCTTGAACAGCTAATGCTTTAATATAGCAAACTTTAGACTTGAGGGGGATCCCTTGTATTTTGGCGGCTCAATTCAACAAATATTAGGCCCTACAAACAACGTAGTTCATTCAAAGATTTTGTATAGAAATAGAGTAGAGGTACCATAGTACGGTTGCCTTTCTACCACTCCCCCTCCCCCACCACCAATCCTATCTATGCTGTATCATATTTTAGCATTCTTCTTCCCAAATGGAATTCCACTTAGATCAACACACCTTGCAATGTTCCACTGTCTATTTTATCTCCCACAGTTTCATTTTCAACATCGGAACTTTCTGGGCATCACAACCACGCCCATTATGTTGTAGGGTGAGAGCTGTTTTCAGCTTTGATGTCTCGTCGATTTAGGTGGGATTTTTAAAAGGCAATAAAACAAATAGTGTGTTAAAATGCTCTCTGCTTTACGTATGCATTGGTGACCTAGTGGTTACGCTCTCGGACTCTCAACCATAAGGACGTGACTTCAAATCCCGTCAAGGGCCTGACGCTGTGTCCCTTAATAAAGGCACTTTCATGAATTTTCCTCACTTCACCCGAGTGGGAATGGGTACCCAGCTATAGACAGCAAAAGATCATGTCCGTTTGTTTATGCTTGAGTATGTGTAATCCGCAGCTTGCACTGTATGCTTCCTGGGAAGCTGCGAATATCTCTGAGAGTTCTAGGGACTTCTGAGGTAATAACTGTTGTAAAGCGCATTGAGCATGGATATGCGCTAAATAAATGCAATTATTATTATCATTAATATTATGCATGACATACTTTGATTTTATACACATTAAAGGAGAATTTTGAGCACGGCATTCTGGTAAAGGCAGTTTCCTTGTCTCTTCAAGCACAGACAGGCATGGCAGTGGTTGAGTGAGGCTTATGTTTAATGGTTTTGAGAAAGGTGGCCAACACAAGATCTCCTGTGAAAATTGGAAACATGTAATGCATAGGCACTTGTTCAACCTCTACTATTTAGTCCATCAACCATTATCCATTTCTCAAGTAGTATTCATTACAGATAAAGGCAGCACAGTGGCAGCACAAATGAGCATGATGGAAAAAAGGGCTTTGCCATTAAGTCTCTCAACAAACAAGGGTAGACACTCTCTGCTTGTAGTGGACATAGCTTGAAGAGGCGGGTGACTACCTTAGTACACGGTACACTGTTTATCTTGTGGAAGCCTCATGAAGAGATTGTGTGTAATGTTGCTCAGCTCAACACTACCAGTTTACTATTGTAAGCAGGTAATTGTAAAACTAAGTATTAACAAAAAATCAAAGGAACCACCTGACTGTTTCACTACTGAAACCAGGGGTCCAGCACCCAAAGATGCAAAACTTTCACCTGTTGATATTGTCAGGAACAAAGGGGAACTGACTGAAAAGAAGTATGACATAATGCAGGGAGGTGGGAAAAATTTCAGCTGGTTAAAAAAAGAATAAATTGAATAAAAAGCTCAGTTTGACAAAGTGCAGACAGCAAAAAGACTGACTGAAACTACAAATAAGAAGGAAGAAACTTAGAGAAAAAAAGGCTCAACTAAGTATATCTATTGCCTTATTAGCAGCCTCAGTAGGTACCTCAACTCTAGATCTAACCAATACAGCATGCATTATAATCAATTGATTCCCATTTTAAATTTGACTAGTGACTCGAGGAAAAAAAGAAAGAAAAAAAAAAGCTTCCCTCAGTGGTCGTATGACAGAAATCCAAAGGATAAATTCATTCAAACTTAGTTACAACGTCATTGATCAGACGCTTTGTTTTCATTCAAGGGAGGTATTTTACTTCCCCCGTAGCTCTACATACGTGACATATATAGAGGAGTTTTGGCCAAAAAATTAAACACGGCTCTGGAGTAAGAGAAACATACTGTTACAGTATTATATCTTGGACCATAATGTATTGGTGTAACTATGTTGTGTGCCCTACAAGGGAAACTATGTTCATGCTGGAGGAAGGCTCTCCAATACAGGAACTTGATATAGGTTGTACTGGGCTACTGATCAACATGGCATGTTGGTTCTGTATCTTGTGTTAGTTATATTTAAGGTATCTGTGGTCTATCCAGGTTGATATCGACCATCCACACCTTTAATAATACCATGGAGGAAAAGCTTACCAATAATACAATATGTTCAGCAAATAGCAGCATATGGTACTGCTATGTTGATAACAGGGTAAAAAAATTAAAAAGCTTAGATTTACATACATTGCAAATAATATACTTGTTTATATTAAAATTATATTCACAGAAATAATGCTGAACACTGCAGACAGCGAGGTAAAATTTAACACAGTGGGAACAAAACCATTGTATTGTAATTACTGTCTCACAAGAACTGAAGTAACAGAAAGACGAAGGTTATGTTTTGTTTTATCAAGATCTATGCCTCCACATCACAGAGAGCTAGACACTGGGAAAACAATAATTTTTGTTCTGGTTGCATTATCGGAAAGATACAGCAAATACTGTATGATGAAAACCCTACAATGTTTTAGAGAAATTCCACCAGCTACCTGGTAATTCATAAATCCAGTCATGTAACTCTCCCTATTCGACAGGGGGAAAAAAAACGAAAAAACAAAAAAAACGAGTGATCGAACCATCAGACTTTCTAAAAAAAAATTGCAAGTCCACGAAAATTGGACCATATTTGTCCTTACTTTGCAAACTGAAAAGTGAAGACAGAATGTTTTAGAACAACATCACCCATGGTTAGAGCCCGGCCAGTAATACACCACCAAACTTCTAGTGAAAAGTAGGAAAATGATTTCTGCAGAAAAAAAGACCGTTCTACAAACGGAATCTCATTTTAGACATTGACCACCAATTCCTACTCAAATGAACTCTATATAGAGTCTAAACCAAAGAATCAAGTAATGTAATGTGTGTTTCTGTAAATATTTATAATCTCAATTACACTTGACTGCCATAATACTAGAATGGTTATGAGTTAATAAATTTTATTTTGATCATTATAGTCTGATAAACATCACTGTGTTCAAGTGTAGAATATTATTTCCGGGATCTGTCCATCTTCTACTGAGGTACCATTATTATTTCCAGCTGCGTAGGTGAACTGAAATGTAACTTTCCCACTGGAAACAGACTCATGCGTAACTTTGCGTAGACCCTTTGAGCCATAGTATGAATCCGGACCCTGTAAAGAGTAAAAATGGTAAATGTAAAAATGTACAGACACATATTATATACATATATATATATCTTAACAAATAACTGGAGCAAGAATGAAGTGATCATGCATCAATTTACATTGTTACAAAGATTTTGGTTGTCCATGAGGCTTTATAATTTATAGAGCGACATTGAACAAAAAATAAAATAAATAAATTAAGTAACTTATCCAAAGGACAGCTATTTGAGCAAAACCTGAAATTCTTTATTTTGCCGGCCTTTACAAACAAAATAAAAAGCAAGCATAAAGAGAGACATCCCTTTCTAAGCCATAAGAACACATTCTACAGAATTCAGGGGAGAAATTATGGCCATACATTTTTTTTTTCAGCCGTCAGTCTACAGGTCTTTACTGTCAGGTATCAAATCAAAACAGAAAACTATAATGCAACTTTTCGCTTGCCCTTATCAAGGTTCCATGTTTGAGGTCTGAGATAATATTTCTCAATCTTTAAAATCTATCATTAAAAAAAGATCTCAACATAACCAGTCCCGGTGCCTTCTCAAGGACCTTGCTGACATAAGACAAGCTTAAACAAGTAGGAAATAACACAATTCAGAAAAGGTTAGCAAAATAGCAGGGATCCACCAGTGGTATTTTTTAAAATCCCACAAGTTTGATACCAATTCAAACAGAAGGTCAACAAATACCCAGCTTTCAACACAAAACACTGATAAATTAAGAGATATTTAAAAACCTTAATAACTTAAAGTTTACCTTCAGGGTGGCACAGGCAATGTAGCTGGTGTTGGGTAGAATCTCCACTGGTTCTTTAAACATCACCCTGAAGGTTGAGGTCGTGCCATCACACTGAAAAGTCGGGTCATTGGAGCCGATCACTTTTGTAGAGTCCATGTGGATTATCTGTTCGCAAGATGAAAAAAAGTCAAATTAGTATAACAATATCTGAAAAATAACCCTGTCTTTATAACTTGAAACAAATATGGTTAGCAGTCTAAAAGATAACTGGATAGTTCAAAGAATAAAAGAACTCATGCAAACAAATATACAGACCTTCATTCATGAGCAAATATACTGCTATATAAATACAAATACTTTTCACACAGAAATGTATACAATAAAAATACATGTGAAAAGCAAAAATAATTGAGATGACATGAGTATAAATGAATAAATGCAACACAAAACAACTTAAAAGCAAAAAAAAATTGAGATGATGAGTATAAATGAATAAATGCAACATAAAGCAACGTGAAAGAAACTGAAATTCAGGCACTCATACCTGTATATTGACCGCATACTCAGTGGGACCATGGATACTTCCATACAACCCAAAGCCAACAACAAAAATTCTGCGATTCACCATAAACCTGCAAGAGACAAGAAAGTCAGTTCAGCAATTACCTCAATAATTGTTGTTTAAATAAAAGTTTTATGGCACTTGCAACATAACAAGCGGGTGTCCAGCAATATTTCCTGGAAAAAAAATTTACTATCCAGCAAATCAAGCCCCACACCAACTTGAAAAAGGGAGTTCATTTGCGCCACCAATAATATATTATTATTACATAATATATGGAACGAAATTAACACACAACAAAGTCCAGTCGACAAAATAGAGGATAGACAGACTATAGCAAGCTTGCTCGACGCTAGATTTAGTTTTAGTTTTATTAAGGTTTTTACGGTGTTTGCAACTGCATAAGGTCATATGAGCGACAAGGGGTGGATGTCAACAGAAAAGTCCAAAAGGGGAATCAGGCATACTCTGCTCACCTCCCTAGCCTCAACAGCACAAGAAGTAGAGGAAAATGACGATAGTAAGGAAGAGGAAAGAAAAAGCAGCAGTTCCTCCTATGTTGTTCCGGCACAGTATGAGCATGACATTGATCAATAAGCCCATATTTACAATTCTACTGTGCATAAGAACATGTTAATATCCCCCCTTTGGGAATGGCCTAAAGACACTTCAGTCAGTGGCACTGCCCTGGCGGCGGTGGGGGGGGGGGGGAGATTTAGACCTAACGTGTGCACACAGGGTGACTGCCAAAGTCGCTTCTCAATTTTCCAGGTGGTCATCCATTTTCCAGGGGGGGCGTTTTCAATTTATAGAAAATCTTTTTAGTGGGGTTTGCGTTGGGGGGTCCCCCCCCCCCCCCCCCCCCGGGGGTTTCTTTAATTTTTTTAAAATCCTCTGCCCCATTCCGTCGTCTTATACTTCGCATCGCTCAGACTTTGAATGAACTTTGGCGACCCCAACAAATGCGTGCACGTTCACTGACCGGTCACGATGGCGAGCCCAACAATCTAAAAATCGGGGGCCCCCCCCCCCCCCCCACCCCCACACACACAAGTGACAGCACAGTGATGAGACCAAGTATTGATTTATATTTTTTGCACAGCGACACAGCGTTTATACTGCACAACCTGCATGTCACAAATGTTGCGTTATCAGTCCCTTGCCCACTAATTTCTGGGTGGAAACGAAAGCGAAAGTAGATCTTGATCTTTCTTGGTCGAGCCTCGGTGTCACATACACTTCCGCCTACTGCCATAGCCGCCTTTTCGCGTGAAACGTACTCTCGGGGGAACAACAACAACGGGGCTGGGAAAAGGTGAACGAATATCATATACAATCGCGACTGGCAAAAACGGAGCCATGTACCGCGGCTAAGGTTCCTGCTGGCTTCATCACTGCGTAGGCAGGTTAATTTACGACTGTTTACCAAATGTTTACTATTGCCACAGCTCATTTACTACCATTTACGACCCTTATGACCAGGGCGCCAAATTTACGACTTTTTAATTACTTTACGACCTTGCTGGACACCCTGAAAGGTCATGTTAGTGCCAAAAATTAGAGGTGATATAAGAGAGTAACAAACAAACGCCAAAAAAAAGGGAGAAATCAAGATGATAGATATTTGATACGAAAGAAGCAGGAAACCAAACGAGAACACTCACCAATCACCCACACCTCAATAATTGCCACAACCTCAAAAGACAGCCACTATATAAAAAAAAAAAAAGGAAGGAAAAGGAACAATGTCTTTTCTGAAATGTGCTTAAGCTCAAACAGCTTTTTTTTTGTTTTGCATAAGTGCTTTACGGCGCTCTTACTTTACTTTACTTTACTTTTCTGACCCAGCGGCCATTTGGGTTCTAGCCCTTCGGTCTGTCGATATGGCAAAGAATTGACAGGTTTTAATCAGCTGTGCTTTGTCGCTGTATAGAGTGTTTCGGATGTCTGGGGAGGCAGGTAGGTAGGTGCTACGCAGGTCACAAAGTGCAGGGCAGTTAAAGAGGTGGTGTGGTACTGTCTCATCCTGGCAGTCGCACAACGGGCAGTCGGGTGGGGTATCCTTGCGGATCCTATTAAGGTAGGAATTTAGTGGTATGTGTTGTGTTCGCAGGCGAAATATTGTGACTTGTTCTCTTCTACTCAGGGAATTTATTGCATCTTTAGAGTTGGGGGCTGTCATGTGTGCAAATACAGTTCTTCCAGTCTTGCCCATTGCCCATCCACTCAGCCACTGTTCCCTGGTGTTGCATTTGATGATGTTCTTGGCTGTCTGGTGTGATACTGGACTGTGTGGTTGTGTTTGTGATGCTCCCTTCTTGGCAAGGGTGTCTGCTCTGTCGTTTCCTGGGATGTTGCTGTGGCCAGGTATCCACTGTAGTGTCAGGTCGACGGCATAGGTCTGTAGGAAGGTGTTGATTGTTTGAGCCACAGATAGGCAGGCTGGGCTTTCGAAATTCATGTTTTCCAGAGCTTGGAGTACTGACTTTCCGTCTGTGAAGATAATAGTGTTCTTGATTTTGTTTGGATATATTATGAAAATGTTGGTCAGGTGGAGGATTGCTGCTTCAATGGCGATTGCCTCAGCCTCGTAATTTGTACAAGAAGTACCACATGCGTCAAATAGCTCTTCACATGTTTTGTCAGGATGTTCAATTCTTACCCCAAAGCCTGCGTTTATAGTTCCCTTGAAGGCTGACCCGTCTGTATAAATATGAATTGAATCACTAGGGTAGGAGTCAATTGTCTTCAGAGCTGTTGTCTTCAGTTCTACTGGGTCACATTCCTTTTTCACTGTCTCTTTTATGAGGGAGGTTTTGATGTTGGCGTTCTTGATGTTAGTGTTTGGGGGGAGTTCTGGTCTTAAAGGTTTCAGCATTTCTCTGTTACATGGAAGATGGTGTTTTTCTGCTAGTTCAGTGGCTGTGTCAAGTATTGATCTTCCATGAATCCGTTTCTTTGGTCGTCTCTGTTCAATTATTTTCCTGTTCGGGAGGTTTTTCTCCAGTCTTTTGTAGCGCTCACTCATCTCTACTACAGCTGCCTCTCTCCGCAAGTCCAGGGGTTCCAGGTTCGTGTGGATTTCACAAGCTGCAGTTGGAGTGGATCTCAAAGCTCTGGAGATAAATCGTACAGCTTGGTTTTGAATTTTGTCAAGAGACCTCTGAGTTGGTTTGCTGCAGATTGTCTGTAAAGTTAGGTTATATTCCATGGCAGATCGTACATAGCCAACATATAGCTGTCTGAGTGCATCCTTGTCCGCTCCCCATGAAGTGCTAGCCAGTCTGAGAAGGTTAAGTCTCTTGTTGGCCTTCGTCTTCAGGTTCCAGATATGGTTTTTGCATGAAAACTGTCTGTCCAGCTCGATCCCAAGGTAGGTCGGGTTTTCAACTTTTTCTAGTTTGTTTCCTGCAAGTAAGATGGTGAGATTTTGCTTTGCAACTTTGTGGCTTTTTGTAAAGACGGTGTAGATTGTCTTGGTACAATTTGCTTTTAGTTTCCACTTGCAGCAGTAGTTGTTGAATCTATCTAGATCCTCATTTATAAGCCGTGCACTGATGCCAGCTTGTTTACTTGTATGCCAGATGGCTAGGTCGTCGGCATATAGGGCCTTCTCTGATTTCAGTGTCTCAGGCAGGTAGTTGATGAAAACAAGGAAAAGTGTGCAGCTCAAAAGAGGAACCCTGGGGTAGGCCCTCCTCCAGTACAGCTTTGGATGACACCCCATTGTTAATCCTGGTCTGGATTGTCCTGTCTGTAAGGAAGGTCTTCACCCATCTGTAGAGTTTCCCGTGGATTCCTGTCTGTGTCATCTTCCACAGGACGCCTTTTCTCCAAACCCTGTCGTAGGCTTGCTGGAGATCGACGAATACTGCAACTGTGTGCTTCTTTTCCTGGAAGCCATCAAGGACTTTCTGACTGAGCCTGAAGAGCTGGTCATCTGTTCGTTGGCCTGCACGAAATCCTGCTTGGTTGCTGTCCAGGGCACCGGTTGTTTCCAACCACCAGTATAGGCGGTGGTTGACCATTCTCTCTGCTAGTTTCCCGATGCATGAGGTGAGTGAAATGGGTCGATAGCTTTTCATTTCTTCAGCAGGTTTTCCTTTCTTGAGAATGGGTGTGATGATGGCGTTTCTCCATGCTCTGGGGATGGTGTTTTCATTCCACGTCTTGTTGATCAGCTGGAGAATATAACCCTTACCAATGGGACTGAGGTTGACAAGCATTTCATTGTGAATCTTATCTGGTCCTGGGGATTTGCGGGGCTTCAGTTTCTTCATTGCTCTGTTGAGCTCAGTGAGTGTGAAGTCATCTTCAAAGAGAGAGATGCTTGCATTTGGCGCATGCTCTTTCTCCTTCAGTCTTTTCAGACAGTCTCTATGTTGGTCAGTGTGGTGCGTAGCTTTGTTTATAGAAGCAAAGAACTTGTTGAAGGTTTCTGCCTTTTTTTGGTCTTCTACGATGGTGCCTTCCTCTGTGTCCATGGGTTTTGGGTTGTTTCGGCGCTTTTCTCCACACAAGTTGGAGAGAAGTGACCATGCTTTGGCTCCGTTTCTACGTAGATCAAGGTCTGCAACTGTGGTGCTCCATTTGTTTCTTTTGGCCAAGAGGGTTGTCTGTTTGACCTTAGCTGAGGCTTTTTTGTAGTTAATTTTGTTTCCTGTTGTAGGATCGCTTTCAAGAGTTTTTCGAGCATTTTCTCTGTCTTGGACTGCTTGTTCGTTGTTCTTGTTCCAGAAAGGCTTGTACTTTTTCCTGCAACCCCTAGGAATGCAGAGAGCCGCAGCCTTGAGCAGGGAATCTGTTATTGCGCCACAGAAGACATCAACAGAGGGGTTTGGTGTAATATCTTTCAGGAGCTTTTCTGTTGTTGTCTTGTAGAGCTCCCAGTTCGCCTTTTTAAAATTCCACTTGGTCTTTTGTACAAAGTGACTTTGGCTTGGGGTCGACACCGAAGTCATGATGGGTCTGTGGTCGCTACCTATGCCGTCAAGGACTTCTGTGGTGTGTCTTTGGAAGAGGTCGGATGAAAGGATGGTCAAGTCAGGCCTGCTGAGGGTGTTGTGAGCCCTGTGTAGAAGGGTAGGGGTAGATTTCTTGTCTTGGAGAACAAGGAGGTTTGCTGTGCCACAGAGTTCCTCTATGGCCATTCTGCTTTTGTTGTATGTTCTGTATCCCCACTGAGGAGAGTGGCCATTAAAGTCACCCACAACTATTGTTTTGGTGTATATCGATTCTTGAAGAAATGAAAAAGAGCAGTCATTTCCTGGGGGGCTGTAGATGTTAAAGATTGTAAATTTGCAACCTGCATACCAAATGGTAGCTTTTTGGGTGTCTGTTCTTGTGTCAGTTGTGATGTTCTCAACTTTTCCTTGTATGTCATTTCTGATGTAGGTTATTACACCCTGGCAGTCAGGGCATGTGCAGGTATAATGGGTGTAACCTGGGATATAGGGGTCTGTGTTACGGTGAATAGTTTCTTGTAATAGGGCAATGTGGATTTTTCTTGAGTCCAAAAGGTGAGAAATTTCTATTTTCTTGTTTGCGAGGCCGCAAACGTTGACCTGGAGTAGTCAAAACTGTTATGTTTTCCCAGTAGCTAACTTTTCACCAGCAGCCTGGAGAGGCACTGCATGGCGCGGGCCTTGATAAACGAGGCGTCGCCCGAGCTCGGATGAATTTAATTTATTTTTCTTTGCCATATTTGCTGGGGAGCCTGTGGCTTTTCTTCCCACCCAGGTCTGTGGTCTACCAGCAGTCCGGTGCATCTGACATTGAGATTTCTGAGCTACAAGTTTTGTCTCTCACAGAAGTGGGGCAACGCGCTGAGCAGGGACTGGCTTCCGTTTTACATGTGGTCAAGGCACGATCCACTGTGGTCCATTCCCCGCCACCGCTGTCTCCTGGCGGGCTGTGGGGGGTCAACTTAATCTGGTCTGACCCTGGCAGCATTGTTGAGCCAAAATCACACAGACGAGCGGCTTGTCACGTCCTGGATCCTTTGTGTCGGTACGTAGACGTCCATGTTTAGGCATGCCATGTCCCCGAGGCCTATCCCACCCAGTGGTGTGTTCATCTTTGCAGGGACCAGGAGAATCCATGGAGATGCACAAGGCCAAAGGCAGAGCACAAGCCAACCACAGGGAGTGCGTAGAAGAAGTAGGTGAGGTAGCACAGGAGGACACTCACTCAAGGGAGAGTGAGAGTGTGTTGGTGGGGGGCATAGCGTCTACCACACGCCGGTGGGTTCTGCCCTCCGCACCTTGTGGGGTCACACCTACTCCCAGCCTGTTGATTTTACCCCTCCTGGCAAAGGGGGGTTGGTTTGTTGGCGCCAACAATTTGCCATTTGCCAGAGCCACGTCAGTGCAGACAGGGATCACCACGAGTAGGTGCGGTTGGCTAGACTGGGAGAAGCTATATGAGACGCTTGGGTATTTCTCATCTTTTAAATGAGGCCCTTCACCAGCCCTTGATCCCCCTTTACGGTGCTCCAAACTGCATAAGGTCACATGAGCGCGCGGGACACAGTGCACATTTTCATTTATAGGAAATTTTGAATTTTGCCCCGGTGGCCATCGAAGCATACTCTTATCGATTTTGGACCACCAAGGGATCTTTAATGAGCGCAACTTGCACATAGGCCCTCCGAGATTTTTCGCCCTTTTCCGAGAAGGCTAGGTGTAGATCTTTCCTACCAGAAGATCAGGGGTGTGGCTGAAAGACAGTAGTAAGAAGGGGCCAAAGAGTAGCAGTAGAAAGGCTGCAGAAAGAGTCAGGAGCCCAGAGGAGGGGGCAAACGGGGTGAGGGGTGGGGACAGAAAGTGAAGACGAAAGCAGACGACAGAACATTGTTAGAGAGCAGGAAAGGATGTGAAAGGAGAAAATTTTAGAGAAAAAAATTTTCCTTTGCTATCCGGATTCGAACCCGGGATCTATTGAATGAGAAGTAAACACTTGAACCTCTAGGCCACGAGAGCCCCCTCAAACAGCTTGAGCAAGCTAAGACTTTTTAAAATGAAGCCTTTCTTTCCTTTTTTTTAAAGATATATAGTGGCCGTCTCTTGAGTTTGTGGCAATTATTGAGGTGCGGGTAGTTAGTGGGTGTTCTTATGTGGTTTCCTGCTTCTTGTGTATGCTCTAGCTTATTGCGTAAAGTCTGAAATTTTCATCAAAACATTTGCATCCTCTTGTGTATAAAGTTGCTCATATGGCAATCTGCATGTGTCAAAATCAATGGACAAAAATAGGATGGTTTTGTGCATCAGTAAAGCGCCTTTCCCCATTAAAAATAACTTTGTTTGAGGTTCCTCAAAGGTATGTTTGATTTTTTTTTTTTTTACTACTTATTTCCAAGCAATGTTTCTGTTTGTTTTTCCAAACATTTTTAACTTACCAATATTCTGCACCATATCAGGACAAAGAATTTTTTTTAAATTTGAGGAATAAAGCACATTATGTGACACATTAAATGAAAATTTCCCACTGTGAAACAGAAAATAACAAGACTGTAGAAGCAGATGAATAAGACAGAAAAAGACACAACACCTGCACCAGACTTGCAACAACAACAAAAAAAGAAACCCCAAATTATTAACTCTACCATCAGCTATGCATGATATATCTATCAAGGCCATTACCTGATCCTGTCACTTGTGCCGCTGTAGCCCCACCGACTCTCAATCTGGCAGAAGCGCGACACCACCTGCTCCTTGCCCGTCAGGCAGCACCGTGGCACATCCAGGAAGCTGATGCTGGGCTTGGGGTTCACCGTGAAGTAGAGAAAAAGCTCCACCACTTCCCGGTCCTCTAGGATGCCACTCTGTGCCGAGCCCATGGCAAACTCTTCCACCGTCATCAGGGGAAAGCGAATCAGACGCAACGCACGGGCTAACACATGTCTCTGGAGGGGACAAAATGGAAGAAGACAATATTACATCTCTTTCAAGCGCAATTCAATTACACACCTCCAAAAGGTACACAATGGTTGATGGTGACATCAGAAACAGCTTTCATCTCCCTCAGGCACAATTCCATTGCACATCTCTGGAAAGTACAATGCAGATAAGTATTCCTTCATTTACTTGAATCCACAACAACTAATACTAAGACTTTGCTACATGTTTTAAATTCAGTCTTGTTAAAAGTCAAGAGAAGAAAAGATAGAAAAGGTGGGAGGGAAAGGAACTGTGATGGAACAAGAAAAAGAAGAGAGGAGAAGGCCTTTTCAGCATTACTGTGGGGGGTGTGTCTGTCTGTATGGGCGGTGAATGACACTGAGGGCTGATCAAAAACTGTCTTCCCTGAATCTGAAAAAATGGATAAACTGCTAACACATCTTGGGGGAAAAAATCATAAGGAATAAGTGTGCATGATTAATTACCTTGATTTTTGTCCAGTATCATTCAATATTTTTATTTCACTTAATTTGGGGCTGATGATATACGTTTGAAACTTTGGCGATTTTCACTGCTGCTTTTACAGGTTTCTGAGCTGTTTTCATAAATTTTTTAAAAATATTTGATAAACCCTCTTAGTACTGTCTAATGCCAGTCCTTCAACACCAAAGGTTATTTATGAAGGAAGACATCCATCTCCTTTTACCCCTTCCCCCCTTGACTGACCTAGTGAACTGCTGCACGTACCCCACTAAAAGCCTAGATCAGGATTTACCAAACTATGTTGCCTAAGGTCAGTTCGTCTTGCCTGCAACCATGTGGGGAAAAAACTTGGAAGATGAGTTTGCAGAGTGTTCTGGACTTGACTCTAGATATCACTCTCTCTTAAGAATGCCCCATCGGAGTTAGTGATTCAAACCACAGCCACCTATCTATGTCATCGTTCAGTATATCATGTGAACTAACTGCATGCCCAAACACCCGCTCTTGTCTTTATTAAATCACAAACATGAACCACAAGAAAACAAACCTGATTTTCACTTGTCAGGGGAAAGTTCTGCCTCACACACTCTGCCTCTGCCCATCTGCACACAGCTGAGAACAGCTTACATTCTCGGATGCCCAGAGTGTCTCTCTCCAGGACAACACAGAGAGTGTCGAGATCAATATCGGTGAAGCCATCAGCGGCCAGAGCCTCACTAGTGTTCTTGTCAATCGTCTCCAGACACAATGCTGCCAGCTGGGGTTCGTCGAACAAGCGAGCCTGTGTCAGCAGCATAAATGCGTTGTCGGGACTGAGATTGCGCTTGAGGAACTCCACACAAGCCCTCTCTAAAGCAGGAACCGCATACTTCTTTGCCGTGTACAGCGTGGTCATCACAGTCTCTGGGCCAATCTGAACCTCATCTGTGTACAGAAACCTGAGGAGAGCAGCAAAAGCCGCTGGTTCTACATCAGGGATGTCTATCACACTTTCACTTGTAGCCAGTCGACCGTTGAACAAGGCATCAAAAACAGCACTGCCGATCGACAGAACAAACTTGTGAGCAGAAATAAGCTGATGAGCTGGTGGTTTTCCAACCTGTTATTGAAGAAAAAAAGCAAACACTTCACATAAAAGTAAAAGCAAAATACAATCAAATGTAATAAAAAGACAGATTTACCTACACTGAGTCCACTTATCACTAACATAATGATAAATTTGGTCAGTTAAAAAGAGTTCCACTATTCAATTCTGAAAAATTAAGGAGCATAAACGAAACACAGAAGCTTTACAGTAAAGTAATATTAATAAAAGTAAGACTTTTGGTCTACAAAGTCACCATAGCAAAACAAACTTTACCTCTTACTCATTGATGGGAAAAAAAATTTCAAAAGTAACCCATTGACTGGAAACTGTTCCTATACCTGAAACTGAATGTCTGTCATTGTATCAGTGTTGTACAAGTAAGTGAGCCTGTCTTTCACGCTGGTCTTTGTGGCTTGCCAGTTATAGGAAGCTTGGTTTTGATTCTGTGGAGGCGTTGAACTCAATGGTGAGGAAACCAAAGGAGGAAACAAAAACTGAGTACTTGGCAAAGACTCAGCATCTGATCCTCCATTCGCAGTTTTGATGGAGTTGGCACTGCAGGTGGTACCTAGTAGCAAACTGTTGTTCCCTAGACATGGTCCACTTCCGGTCATACTTGGAAACGTGGTCAAGAAATCTGCCGCAGCCATCGAATCTCTCTTGTTGGTGTGCAAGTACGGGACGTGGTAGCGAGGAGGTGACGACGACAGAGTACCCGTGCTCGATGCCTTGACAACTGCATTCACCGGTGAGCCTGCCAGAGTGGCGCTGTTAGCAGGACCCACACCATTCAGCGAGTGTCGGTGATCTCGTGGGGGAGCCGATGTCTGCATGGACACCATATGTTCTCGAGGTGAAGGGACTGGATCACTCCGGTCGTGAGATGGTGATGCCGGCTGAGAGCTGGGTAGAAATTCAGCACACGCTAGAGCTGCACCACCACTGCTAGCCGTTGCACCGCCATTGGCCCCATGATTACTGGGCTGAGTACTCAAGCCCTGGGTGGGACTAGCACCTTGACTGCTTTGCTTCTGGTTTGAGCACAGTTTGTTTCTTGCCTGACCTTCTTTCTTGTTTTTGTCTCCCTCCATATTCGTTAACCCCTATATACAGAACAAAAAGACAAAGTTAAAGAAAAAGTTATTTTGCAATTTTGACACACATTTAAAATAATTTTCAGTTTTAGTTTTAGTAAGTGTTTTACGGCACTTGCAACACAATAAGGTCATATAAGTCTGCCGTCGTAAGGGAAAACGACGAAAGGTCCTGCGCAGGTAGCGAGGCAAATTTTTCAGGAGAGGCAAAAACTGTTTTCACTTTATAACTCTTCTATTTTTCACTCTTCTAAGCTGTAATTCACCAGATATCTGATTGGGGTGCTCATAATGCAGTTTCTAAAGTTTGAATGGTTTAGGTTTAAAAGTAGCAAAGTTATTCGACATTCGTCGTTCTCCCTTACACTGCGCACCCGCAGGTGAGCCTTGCGATGTACGCGAAAACGACGAATGGTGCGGTTCGTCGTTCTCCCTTACAGTCGTGGTTTATGGGAGTAGGCGATGGTCAGTTGTGACGCATTATTGACAGTTTTGACTGTGTACTGGTTACTACAAATAAAAATAAAACGTATACAAACTAGCTATTATTTTACTAATAAAGTTAGGTGTTTGTTATATCTCAACTGTAACTCGGTAAACGTCCTTCGTTTGCCTTCCTCGCTTGGTTAAATACTACAGTCAGCGTACAAATCAGATGTGCGCACATTTTCAACAGCTTGATTAAAAACTGTCTCATTCGGAACAAAAGCTTGATCTCCATGATATCTCTTTTAAATTGTATTCTCTTCAGAAGCGAGTTTTACTTTTATTTTCGCTAATTGCAAAATTTTCCCTGCACGACCAAAGGGATCAACAATGTTACAATGTCAATAATACGATCAGATCATTGCAAAGTAAAACTTTCTCGTAAGAAATGTAACAATCTGACAAGACTGTATCACAAACGCTTTCGGGAGAGGTAATGCGACGCTTTGTATTTAATAAAGGATTCAGTTGATCGGAAAACATACCACAAAGTAGAGATCGACAAGGACAGTTTGAATCTGCAACACATTATTATACTCGATCGTAACGTCCATCAAGTCATAAAAAATGGTAAAGCAAGACTAAGTGTCGCCACAATACGTCCACTTTTTAAGTTGGACAAAGAAATTTACTCTCATAAGGCAGTGTCATTAATTGCTTGGTAATTCTATAAGGATGTCGACCAGTGACACGTGCTAGACAAATTGCGGCACTATTACCATTGTTGGGATTTGGGATGTCAAATGACTGGACAGCAAACTAACATGACGTTAGTCTGTGAACATCTGGCGGACACTAATATGCAGTGCAAATAAATTTCTCCCTTAATACTTTTTTTACCCTCCCATTCACACCCCTTTCCCCATGTTCCCATCCGTTTTCCCCTCCCTCCCGCCTGCTCTTCTCAATTCACACAAAATCAGCATAGGCCTCATACCTGAAGACAGACAGAAAGACACACTAAGTGATACATTCTTATAAACCTGGTCGACGGTACTCCGGGGGAGTGGGTGGTGCTGAGTTTGTTTAAAGAAAACCTAGTATGTTTTTACTGACGCAACAGTGACCAATTATCATTCGTCACCCATGCCAAATTTTCCCAACGGCAGAGACCAGGGGACAACGTCGAACGAGCAGTGATCCTTGACCGATCGACCATTCGTCGTTCTCCCTTACACTGAGCTCTGGCTCGGAGCTCGCCAGTGTACGGGAAAACGACGAACTCTCAATTATGCAACAACGGATTAGAATAAGACAAAAAATTTTACACAATCAGATGCGGAATTAAATACTCTACAAAATATATAAAAATACAAAAATCGTTTTCCCTTACGACGGCAGAAGTGCCGAAGATTAGAAGTGTTACAAGAGAGTAACAAACACAAAAAAGAAGGAGGGGATATAAAGACGACAGATGTTTGATAGGAAAGAAGAAGCAAACCACACCAGAGCACCCGTCAACCACCCACAATAATTTTCAAAGGTTATAATTCAAATATATATATATGAGTTTTTTTAAACAACACAAAAAATAAAAAACCCTTTCCCATGACAGTGTTTAGGACAGTCATGTGAATTTGACTTTACTTTTACATGTAAAACAAGAGATACAAATGAATATTCAGAAATGCAAATAAAAAGGCAGGAGAATGGAGATAAAATGTATCATGCACATTACTGTGTTGCAGAACTTGACAAATTGACTGGAACGTTTAAAGTAACAGCAAAAAGCTAAGCTAAAATCAATGTTGGACCATAATTCATGGATAAGTTAGGTGTGTTATTCACTTCTAAACCTTAACTCATTTAGCACAACTGAAAAGAGTTCTCACATGGCTGGTTACCATCCCTGTATGTTTGATGAGAATTCTTGTAAAATCCACTTCGTCTCTTTATAAAGCCCGACATTCCGTAAAAGGTTAGTTCTACCTTTATCTGTATTCATTTAGTAAACGTCTTGTGCTGTTGAAGTTCAGTTTTTCACAGTGACAATGGCCTGCAGTAGTCGAAAACGGACCATCACAGTACTAAAATGATTTTCTAATCTGAAAGTTAGCAACTCTTCAAATAATGTAAATCATCAAGTCTTACAAGCTACAAAATAGCAAAATAGAAGAAAGAGATACGAAAGTTTACTTGTGTTGATTGAGGGCTGGAAAGACGAATTGCAAATAAAATGTTTACATATGTTTACCACAGACGCATCAAAAGGCCTACATGAAACTGTGTGTAGAGACGCTGGATGGTGAAATAACATTCTGTCACTCAACCTATGTGACCAAAAAATAATGATTTTATATATATCAGCATGTGATATCAGCATTTGTGCAATGTGATTTTAAAAAATAATTAATCACAGAAAAACTATAACGCACAACAAAATGAAACTAAACATAGATCTAGATCTATTTGGAAAGACAAATGGTGGTGGAAGTAATGATGATGCTGTAGTGGTGGTGGAAAGACCCTGAATTGTCAGTTACCGTGTAGACACTGCCATTGGGCAATGAGAGTGCAGTCTTTTGACTTTTGACATAATTACACAGTCCTAGTAGGTAGGCCTAGGAAATTCTAGTTCTCATTCTGGTTTTAGGTAAAATCGCCCAACAACAGTTAGATCTATATTGTAATGTAGACCGAACTTCCATACTTAGATACCGGTACGAGAATCAAGATCTAGATCTACATCATAACTCACTTAAAAGCCGAGTCCGAATATATAACACATTTTTTTCGGACCTGAGTCCGAATAGATAAAACCCATCCTTCATGTCAACACCCCCCCCCACCACCCCGTTCACACCTTTAACTCATTCGCTACGCCGAGCCGTGGGGGGCGGCGCGGCTGAAGTGCCGTCAGTACGCTAAGCCGCCCCCGGCGGCTCGAGAACCAACGTTCAATTTTAGCTTGGTTTCTATTCCAATCCACATGTCCATGTTAAAATAAAGGTCATAATATAAAGTTGACTTCCGGGTCAAGCGTTTCCACCGAAAATCGGAAGTTTTGATTCAGTTTTGAAACACGATTTCGAAGTTTATGCGACATTGTTTTATTGCGAAGTCCAAATTATAGCCCAGACACCAGTCTTAGTACTTTTACACAACAAAATGTATCATTATTTTGCTCACTAAAAAAGTGTTGGACTCTTCTTATAATATTGATACTACTGGACTCAAATTGCCAGTGCACTGTAATTGAGAAATCAATATTTTTGAGTGCTAGATCTAAATAGTCAAAATAATTTTTTTCTCCCCAAAATCACTACTTTTTGGTGAATTTACTCAAAAAGTACCACCCAAGACATGTATAGGTTTATTCCAAATGCAATTCTGAATAATTCCATGTAAGATACAAGTGTTTTTTTCTGTCTGGGATCCTTTTTTCAAAATTATTTTTTTCAATATCGGAGGTTATGATCCAAATGTACAAATATTACGGAATGTATGTAAATAACTGCTCATTTTTCAATATTTCCCTGCTCTATATACAGTTATGGTTATTTTGATGTATAATTTGACTAGGTGCAAACATATTTTTTTATTTTCATCTGAGATTATAAATTTTTGGTTTTCAAATTTTATCCGCAGCCAATCACAATTGTGTTGCATAATCACCTCTTATAGGCACCAAAGTTGAAAAATACTCAAATAAACAATACAGATCTATTCTGCAAACCATACTGAAAATGTTGGTATATAATATGTTGATATTTATTTGAATTTATGGCCCCCAAGACCTGTGAACTGCACACTAGTCATCCTCTCATTTCGCCCTCCCGAAAAAAATTCATCCACAAGCCAAAAATAATATGTAGCGAATGAGTTAACCTTACACACACGCTGACACACACACACATGCACACTCTCACACATACACTCACACACGGGCCATTCCATTCGCTTATTATCAACAAATCTCGAGAACGGAAACCATTCAGAGAAATAGAGTTCAAATTTATTTTCCCGAATGTTCGGAGAAATAGAGCCGGCCTTTTATTTTTCCGATTTGTGAATGAAATTGTGGAGTAAAAGCCGGGACCACTTTGACTTCTCCCGTAGAGTGCTGGATAAGGATAGATTAGATCTAGATCTAGAAGGAACGGGTGAGAATAAAAATACGATCTACCTCTCACCCCGGGTGAGACTTGCCAACGTAGGCTATTCTCACCCGGTGTGAAACAAGACCTGTTTTTCCTCATTTTGGAATACTGTCTATCGGTGTGGATGATCAAATTGATAAAAGCCAAGAAAAAATTACATTACAGCACAAAAGTAAGCTAATTTGATCGTCTTCAAAGATGCTATGGCCATTTCACTTTTCGAATCGAGCCGAACTACATTTTGTTTTGCCCAGAAGTTCTCGCAAGATCTACTCCTCCCCTCTCTCTCTCTCTGTCTCTTTCTGAATACTGTCTATCGGAGTGGACGATCAAATTGACCAAAACAAAGTTAAAAATGATGTTAAAAAACAAAACTAGATCTAAATTAATTTGGTTGTCTACAAAGATGCTACGGCTATTTAACTTTCCGAATCGAGCCGAACTACGCAGGTCGCCATTTTGTTTTGCCCGGAAGTTCTCGCGCTACTCCTCTCTCTGTCTAGACTCTTTCTCTCTCTCCACTGCCCACAGACAAAATTGCACGCTTTTAGGCTAACACTAAAAGTAGTAGGCCACCTCTATTCTCACCCGGGATGAGAATAGTGCAGGCGAGTCTTTTGGCTATTCTCATCCGGTGCGCGTTCACCGTTATAGCCTAGACAGATCTTGGCCAACAAATTTTGCGTTCACCCTAAACCACAGAATTCTACACTGTGATAACAGAAAAATTGTAGAATTCTGTGCCGTGAACGAACGTTCCATTACAACTGTAGCCTACTAAAAGCGTACAATTTTGTCTGTGGGTAGTGGAGAGAGAGAGAGAGAGAGAGGAGTAGCGCGAGAACTTCCGGTCAAAACAAAATGGCGACCCGCGTAGTTCGGCTCGATTCGAAAAGTTAAATAGCCGTAGCATCTTTGTAGACAACCAAATTAATTTACTTTTGTGTTTTAACATCATTTTTTAACTTTGTTTTGGTCAATTTGATCGTCCACACCGATAGACAGTATTCAGAAAGAGACAGAGAGAGAGAGAGAGAGGGGAGGAGTAGATCTTGCGAGAACTTCCGGGCAAAACAAAATGGCGACCCACGTAGTTCGGCTCGATTCGAACAGTGAAATAGCCATAGCATCTTTGAAGACGATCAAATTAGCTTACTTTTGTGCTATAACGTAATTTTTTCTTGGCTTTTATCAATTTGATCATCCACACCGATAGACAGTATTCCAAAATGAGGAAAAGCGGGTCTTGTTTCGCACCGAGTGAGAATAGCCTACGCTGGCAAGTCTCACCTGGGGTGAGAGGTAGATCTAGATCGTTTTTCTATTCTCACCCCGGATGAGAATAGCCACTTCCACAGTAGTAATAGATCTAGAACGTTTGTTCACAACACAGAAATCTATAATTCTGTTATCACGGTGTAGAATTCTGTGGTTCAGGGTGAACGCTTCACTGGTTGGCCTAGGCTATAACGGTGAACAGTGAACGCCCACCGGGTGAGAATAGCCAAAAGACTCGCCTGCGCCTGCGCTACCGGGTGAGAATAGAGGTGGCCCTAGAAGCAAGATGTTTCTAGAGATGATAATGAATGAATCATGACAATGATAGATCTAGATAGAGATCAAGAATCTAGAGTATTGATAGAGTAGTAATAGTAGGCCTATTGTCACTATTGATAATCTAATATCTAGGCTAGGTTCTAGATATCTAGAATATATAGAGATCTAGCCTCTAGGCTAGGACAGGTTTACTTACAAATGAAAATGACAAGACTTTGAAATCAGGACCAGTGAGTGACTATGGTCTGGGGCAATAACTTAGCATGATTTGAAACGAAAAGTCCAAGTGGCCATTCCTTTGTGTTCTAAGAATAAACGTTGATGTCCAGAACAGTTAGAGTTAGGCTGGAGCTGACTCTTGTTCCTGTTGTGCCCGTGTTGTCTTGCTTAGTTTTGCCTTCTTTTCGCCCGTTACTTTTTTTAGTTTTCGGACTAATTCTTCCCTGATTTCCTTTAACACTAGGGGGATGTTTTCCTCCTTGGCAGTCCTTAGTTGATTTTTCCCAGATAGGCTAATGTCAATTTTTACATCAACTAAAATTCTCGGCCTTCATTTTGCTGAAGCAAAAAGTATCAAATTGCGTCGAAACTAGTCAAAAACTGTATGAGAATTATTTGTACTTTGATTAGAGAAACAAAATATAGATCTAATAAATTTGGGCAATAATACACCTGCTGCATAATAATTGAGAAGAAGCGAGGAGATTCAAGGTGAGTTCATGCAATGCAGAAATTATCTGGCACTTCAAGCACATCCCATTCTGGCAAGCCTGCATTAAATTTTTCGAGAATGGTAGATAGCAGTTTAGTGCAGTGTGCAATCATTTTGTTAGAAAAAGGTTTCCTTCCTTAGCTGTGTCAAAGATAGTACTATCATTGGCTGTGTGTAGTGTGTAGTGTGTAGGCCTATTCGACATCGGCAATCGGCAATCAGCACACAGAGTAATCTGAGACACAGAAACGGCGAGAACGTCAGGGCAACGTTTGTCAGGTAGGCCTAGATCTATATGAAGGTTTCTGTAGAATTGTAAATGGGCTGATCCAACAATTAACATTGTCATGCTTATAACTGTGCCTGAACTACAACAGGGAACTGGCTGCTTTTTCTTTCCTAATCTTTACTGTCATCATTTCCTCTTGATCTAGATCTAGATCTAGATCTAGATTCTATTTCTTTTGTATCATGTTTGTCACACTCTTGTGACCCGCTGTTTCGGGGGTGCCTTGATATAGTCGAAGCGAACTTTGTGACTATGTGCTGATGAAACTAGAGAGGTGAGAAGTCTGATTCCCTGTAAGTAAAGGACTTCTCTGTTGACATCCTCCCCTTGGGCTTGGCGCTGATATGATCTTATATTTTGCAGTTGCGAGCTCCGTAAAACCTCTACTAAAACCAAAAAAAACCAAAGATACCACACAGTTGCTAACATTTATTAGAGATCTTCTAGATTCTAAGTAAACTTGGACATTGGATTTGGAATTAGAGTGGGGGGGGGGTCTCCTCGCATTTTGTTTTTGTGTGAGAATAATTTATTTTTAAAAATCGAAGTGTCTATTTCTCCAAACATTCGGGAAAATAAAGTTCAAATTTATTTGAAATTATTTCTCCGAACGGTTTCTGATCTCGAGATTTTTTGTTTATTTGCGAGTTTTAGGCGTCATCCTTTCATTCTGCCATTCTGCGAGGACCGGGAAGAAGCATTTTTTGGATCGAATTCAATTTCAAGAGCTAGAGGCTAGAGATTTTTTAATGTCTGAATATTCAGATACTTCAGTTGTGGTTGGGGCAATGTTCCCGGACTATGCTTCATTTGAAAATACCTTCAAAAGGTACTGCGAGAAAACAAGACTGATCCACCTTGGCAGTAACCTATTTTGCATCCAGCAAAAACTAAATCCTTCTTGTAAAAAAAAAATCCCTCCTCGCCCCCCGTTCACGCCTTACACACATGCCGACACACACACTCACACACACCGGCAACTCATTTGACTTATTATCAACAAATCTCGAGAATGGAGACCGTTCGGAGAAATGGAGTTCAAGTTTATTTTCCCGAACGTTCGGAGAAATAGAGCCGGCCTTAAAAAATACAGATTCTAAACTGTCTAAACTATTATTCTCCACTGTCGCTGTTGATGAGTTGATGTCCATTTTCATAAAGTGTAACTTCGGGAGTGTATGGTAAACCGGAACAAAGTTTTTACGAAGTATACAGACCTGGTAACCTAAGGGAAATCTTTTGTGATCTCTGAAAGTTTCAGTGCTCTGGGTAGACCTAGACAGACAGATATTCTTAGATCTAGATCTAAATGAAGATTGCGGATGTCTTTTTGATGAATTATCGTTTTTCCTTCTTTTTGGGGTTCGTAAAACCCTCTACTATAAAAATAATAAATTTTTAAGACAATGTGAAGAAGAGAACAATGTCATAATTTCAATCGAGCAGTCACCCTCTATATTTCTCTGTCTTTCTCCATCTCTCTCCCCTCTTTTTCTCTTTCTCTCTGTTCTTTACCCCACCTCCCTCCCTCCTTCCTTCCTTCCCTCCCTCTCTCTCTCTCTCTCTCTCTCTCTCTCTCTCTCTCTCTCTCTCTCTCTCTCTCTCTCTCTCTCTCTCTCCTCTGTATATCACTTGCCTTCTATTTCTCTTTGTTTTTCTCTGTTTTTCTTTCTCTTCCACCTACTTTTTCACTCTTATCTTTCTCCCGTTCCCTCCTGTCAACTGGGGCATGTGATATAATTTGCTTGCACTTCTCTCTGTTCTCTACCCCTTCCCCTCCCTCTCTCTCTCTCTCTCTGTCTCTCTCTCTCTTTCTCTCTCTCTCTCTCTCTCTCTCTCTCTCTCTCTCTCTCTCTCTCTCTCTCACACACACACACACACACACACACACACACACTCTACCGGGACTGGGCGCTGAAACTCTGAAATCACAAAAGATTTCCCCTACCGGGTCTTTATACTTCGTGACTTTGTTCCTGGTTACCGTGCCTGTAAACACTCAACTTTTAATTACCTTACTAAATTAGATCTAGATCTAGTAGTGCTCGAGTGGCACTCCAACACGGAAACTCTCCAGGCCAGGGTAGCCAGTGGTGTAAAATTAATTTTTTATATAACCAATGAATTGCCTGCCGGGCGTGTAAATTAAAATAAAAATAATTGTTAGATCTAGATCTACATGATATTACACATGCACGGGAGGGGTGGCATTGTATTGTTTGCGTGTGCTTATTACACTGAACAGTGGAGCTAGAAGCTAAGGATGGAAGCAAAGTAGATGTTCGGTCGTTTCTGTTTTTAATAGGACAGTGGCAATGGGAGGAATTCTGTCACCGTTTAACGAGTGACCACTATGAAACAGAGCAGGATGAGGGTAGGGTTAGGGGTAGGGTTAAAGGTCTCTTCTTTATTGTATTTGTTGGGGTAGTCGCTCGTTACGGAAGTCCTTCCGGACAAACATGGTCCTTTGAGATTTAAGCACTGGTGGTTAGGATAGCACTTGAGAGGCATGAGGTTTTGACACCTGCTTGCTAACTAGACAAATGACCCTTGATCCCTTCTTCAGCAAGACCTCTGAAACACCCCTCCCTCTCGTCCTAAATTCCGCTGTCCAAAACGTAAAATGTTTAAAAAACATAATTTTTATCTCATGAAGCTATAAAGAGCACCTTGCACATCTCTCTGATTGGCCCAAATATAGAAACATATTCCCACCCTCTATTTTTGTCATCTTCCTGGGTTTCCCTCGCCAGTTAACTAAATCTATGACACGTTATTATTATTATTCATCAGAATGCCAATGACAAAGTTTCTAAAAATAGAAAAGCAGCATGTTGTAAACAAAGACAGTGCTGAATAAAGTCCAGACTTCCATCAACAGATGTATGAGGAGTATCCTAAAAATTAAGTGGCAGGATAGAATAAGAAACGAAGAGCTATGGGAAAGGACAGGACAAAAGGATATAGAAGTAGAAATAGGACTAAGATAGTGGTGTTTGATGGGACACACCTTCAGAAAGCCCAGCAGAAACATCACAAGACAGTCACTGCAATGGAACCCACAGGGAGCACGAGGCTGGGGTAGGCCCCGAGAGACATGGAGGAGATGTGTGGAAAGGGACATGAGAGAGATGAAGCTCACTTGGAACGAGCTAGGAAGGATGGCCCAGGATAGAGATAAATGGAAGGAGCTTGTATGTTGCCTATACCCTGCCAGGGGTGAGAGGCATTGATGATGATGTGTGTGTGTGTGTGTGTGGTAGCCTATCCGTTCGAAATGTTCGGAGCCCCGAAGAGTGTGCTCTTCGCCAGGGCCACCGCCTCCCTTGGGTAGCGGGTGAGGCAGTCCAACCTCCCTGAATCCTCCCCGAAGAGATGCCACCGCCGGGCCTCCGTGGCGGGGCATCTCTGCAGCCAGTGCTCCAAATCTTGGGGCTAATGATGTTGTAAACCGTTATACCAAATCATCTGTAATTTAATTCCGTTTAAATAATTATAGATGCATTATCATGTTTCAGGTATACACATATTAACTCTGATATCATGAGGGATGAGACAAAAAAAAACATTGTTTAATTGTGATGTTTTGACCAATTGAAGATTTTTTTTTAAATGGCAATGCTGCAAGGTTGCAGATTAGGCTAATGATTGAGCAAAAGGAAGAGACGTACAAAAGTTTACAGTGAATAATAATAAAGGAAGATAGATCTAGTCGACTCACGCGGGAAACCCTGGAAGATGAAAAAAATAGATGGCCAAAATATGTCATTTACATTTGGGCCAATCACAGGTGTGCTAGGTGCTCTCTATAGCTTCATGTATTTTTATCTAACTCCCTTGCGATTCCATCTTAGGGCAAAAACATAGAGAACACTGAAACTTAAACGGCTGAAGATCGACGCTGACAGACACCAGTAGGTGTCTGCTGGACTCCACATAGAGGGCGCCTAAGGCCTAGATCTAGATCTAAGAAAAAAAATTACAAAACAACACAGCTGGTATTGATGAGGCATTTATTTGGGGGTGGAAAAACAAGAAATTTTCTAAAATATTGCTTAAATTGTTATTCTGCTCGGTTGTCACCCTAATTTGACGACACTGATTTTAAAAATTGTGTAATTAGTTTTTGTCTACTTGAGCACCAGCTCTGAAATTACCTTTTATAATTGTCCCCAGTCCAGTCGGGTGACGTCACGCAAACCGCAGAACCCAATTTGGCGACGGCGAGACAGCATTTAGAGTTCACGACATCTGTGCTTTCTTGTCGTATCTCCATGTTTAATAACAGCGAAAACAGTTCATAACAAAGAGTGAGCTTAAGAAGAAGTCACATTTTCTCTGTTTAAAAAATTGAGATATGACAAGAAAGCGCTGAGGTCGCGAGTTGACAGCGAGGCGCCCTTCCCAGTTTTTCGGCGTAATAAAAATGGAAGTTTGGATTCCGATAAAGCCGACAGTGCCGACCGGTGCTTAAAGCCGCCTGCAGTCTGCCAGCTTTATTTGGGGCAAGTTAGAGTTCATAAGGGAATTTTTATACCTGTCGGCACCTAGTGAGTCAGTCTCTGAAATCGGCATTCTCTATGTTTTCGCCCTTAGACAGATTTGACTGTATTAAAGCAAAACACCTCCCCCACTGACCCACTGCGTTACTTGAACGTACAAACTCGGTAACTCAGTCTGAAGACTGGCTGGCAAAAAATGTTTGAAGCAAGTGACAGCTGTAAAAGCAGATTTTGAAGCCACAAAAATGACTGACCGTGGCTTCTCTGGCATTCGACAGGAGCCACTATGTAGATCTAGGCCTACGGGTTAAAAATTTACGAAAACACACAAAGATATAATATTACGAAATACTGGCGGTTAACACAGATGCCGCGATAGAGAGATGATCGTAAAGGCTTGTTAAAAAATTTATTCCAAGTCAAAGTATTAGTTCAATTAAGTTAAACTTATGCCCCTTCTTGGGTGCTGACTTTTAAAAATTCATGATTTAGGGTTCTCTGTTCTTTCTGTCCTCACATCATGTTCCCTGAAGTTGACATGCTCCGGGAACCTGATGGGTGCAGGTATTGAGGAGAGGAGTGAGACTGAAAAGACAAATGCTCAAAAGAGAGCTGGATGTATTGCTGATAAGTAGGGCATTACCACATGCCAGTGGGTTCTGCTTCGTGTGTTATGAGGCTACAAGGGCTTTTTTTAGTACCATGCGCTCCCTTTCAACAAAATCATGTTACCAAAATTAGGGATCACCTTATGAAGAAGTGGTCAAGTTGATAAAGGGAAACTGTTGTTTACATCTGAGAATGGTGTCACCTTGTAAGTATTGTAGGCACTAACTTTAATAAGAGTATTATTCGTTTTAGACCTTACCTATATGGATTAGGATTATACTTTTTCTTCTGTAAAAGTATGCTACCAATATTTTTGTTCCTGAAACTTATTCTTTCTTACATTAAAACCAGTTTCTACATTTTACTATTTTTCAGAATGACATCAGAAAGGGGAAATCAAACCCCACACATGGATGCAGAGAAAGCCCAAGTACTGTTTGAGCATGGAGCAATGTTCTTGTTGCTGAATTTTCCAGAAGGATCAGAATTTGGAATTGACAATTATTCGTGGACTGTTGGGCCCAATTTCCGTGGCATTAAAATGATTCCGCCAGGAATTCACTTCATCTTCTACAGGTAAGTAGGTAGTGTTAAATGTTTGACATGAATTCTGATTTGTTTGGGCATTTTTTGTTTGAAGTAGTATTATTTGAAGTTATATGAATGCAGATTCTCATGGAAGCAAGAGTTATGTTAACTCACATATATTCTAATAATTCAATAATATAACAGGGAAGATATATATATGACACTTCTTCTGTTGCTCACATTATTCATGGACAAAACATAAAACATCTCTGGGCTTGAAAGTTTACTTCCCCAGTGCCGAAGTTTTATTTTCCTGGTATGTGTCATTTAAAAAAAATGTTGTTAAGTCTTAATGCTCTGCTAAATTAATGTACAGTAAGGCATGTTATTATCAAATATGGTATATTTGTGTAGGATTGATGGAAAATATATTGTTACAATAGTTCAGTCTTAAGACGATCTCATACTTAATCTGTTTCTGGGGGGGAAATATAGCCTGTTGCTTCGAATAATGCTAGCTTTCATTGTTATGAAGTGTTTGCAGTATCTTTGATATGTGCAGATGTTTATGAAATCCACAGTCTTTTCCACATGCAGACTCCCTTTCTCATTCTGTGTCATGTTTTCTGAAATGCCATGAGATGCACAGTTTATATTTAAAATAGGCCTGGCATTGTACCGTCGGGACTTCACAATCACAACATGTAGATCTAGACAGACATTGAAAACAACAGGAGTTTGACACGACTGTACCGGTGGACGTACTCTTTATTACTGACCAGTAGTGACCACTCTTCTCTAAAATACGTGCCAGTGGTTACAGTTGCCAGGTCTTCCTAAATACTAAGGCAATAGAGGTGGTTTGCCTAATAGTAATGGACATTACAGGCATCATTTGAAGATCTATTCTTCACTTAACTATAACCCTCCGTTTTCATATACGCTCTATGCTTGTTTGAAGGAATTATGCGTTCTTCTTTTTTTTTTCTCATCTTTTTCTATTGATTGTTCAAAGTACCTCACCGTAACTATTTTTTTTACCTTCAAATATGCTACCAATCTTTCTACTGCTCAAGGCCTTGTTCAGATTTTGGCAAGTAGACAGTACTCAGACAGCTGAGGCACTAGGCATGGAATAAGCAGGTGTCCACTGTTTCCTTTCTGTGAAGATGCATTGCATGCATTAATGATAGAAAAAAACACAAGCCTCAAGGGGTGATAATTATAATCAATTTCATATGCTAAATATATATTTTGAAGCTGAAAGTGAAAAGGTGAATTATAGTACCTGCACCTTTCCACTTGGAAGTTATGTTAGGCAAATGTCTTCTATCACTTAAATGATCTTTTCCTGCTTAAGAGGGCTAGTTGCTGACTTGTGTTATGGCCAAAAGATGTCTTGGGTATTCTCAAACATATTCTCTCATTTTTATCTTTTCAGCTCTGTCAATTCTGACCATCAGGCAGGTCCACGTTCTGGATTTTTTTACAACTTTGCTTCAAAGGAGATTGTTGTGAAAAAGTGGAGTGTCCAAATGGAAGGTGAGTCTGGTATTTTCAATACAGGCCTACTGCCAGACTGCTTTGAACATCTCCCTAATTTGTCACCAACCCTATAATATACTGCTACTCTTTTCTTCTATACAGAACAAATTAAAAAAATTTTAATGCAGGATGAGCAGCCTGTTTTCCCTCCACCTGATAAAGGAAAGCATACTGTGACGACCACAGGGAAAAATGGATAAAAGTCACAAACTCAGTTATTGAATTATTACCTGCAGCACATTCACTTCTTCCATAAATCACTCTTAATAACTGTCATGTGGGTGGTTGTTGGGCAGTTGTGGTGTGGTTTGCTCCTTCTTTCCTGTCAAACATCTATGGTCATTATCTCTCCTCTTTCTTTTGTTTGTATGTTACTGTAATCTTTAGTACTTATATGACCCAATTGTACTTCATGTGTCATAAAACTCCTTCTAAAATCAATACTAAAAAGATAGATGTTATACGGGTTCAGTCTTGAGCTGGAGGCCAACTAAATTTGAGGTAGACTAGTTATGGAGTCTTGTCTCGTTCATCTTGTTCCTCTAGCCACTGGCACATTAACTCAGTGGACCCGAGTGTACATCTGGAGATGACTGCTCTCACCAAATATGTTCACCAAAAGCAGCGTACAGTGCAGTATGTCTAGCAATCAGCACTCAGTTTTGGAGGGGGGGGGGGGGGTGTTTTGCTTATCACTCCCTGCTTTATCACAGAAGCCTTTGAGTTTGGCTTTTATTTATATAACCTTCTGATGGTGGTAGTGGTGGGGGGGGGGGGTATTTGTTGTCACCATTGCCAGTCATCAAGTTTCACGTCTTTACTCTAACAATACAGTAGTCTGCTTAAATGGAACATTGTTTATACAGAAACAGGGTACACCAAAATGAAATAGAAACTCTGGGGTTTTTTCCGTCTCTAAATTTGAGCTATCTCTCTAAATAGAAAACATGGCTAACTGAAGGAAAATATGTCAGTGTCGCAGATTTCAGTTTAAGCGGATTCCATTCCCCCCACCAGAGCAGTGCCACTGACTGAAGTGTCTTTAGACCAGGGCTCCCCATTCCGCACAGATGTGCGTATATTATGCATTAAACCTGCAGATTATCCCGTTTAACTTTAAGTTTTGGTAGTGCGTGAGACAGTGAGTGTTATGCTTTAAGATTTCATTTTGGGGGTTTGCATACGCTTTAAAACGTAGGTGGTGTGCGTCGGGCAAGCATCATTTTCCCCCCTTCTCTATCCGGGAGCCTAGTCAATGATTTGACCCACACACATACACGGCAGTCACCTTTTTCTGTGTCAGAAGCTCTGAAGAATTTGGAATCAATTTATTTTCTGTGTGTATTACAGTCGGAATTGACCCATTTTGGTTTGTCAACTTTATTTCATTTTTGATTGTGAGTTAAATGTTTATCTGCAGAAATTCTTACTACATATATATATGTATAAAATTAGGCCTGTTGATGGCCTGTGCTCCACTAGGAGTTAAAAAGGGCAAGAGAGAGATATATATGTATAAAATTAGGAGGTAATGACTTTTGAGGATTAGTTTGTCAGACATGGACAAAAAAACCAACAACCCTTTACTAAAACAAGGGTTTAAATACCCCATAGAATAGAATACCAAAGGGTGAAGGAATCTCTTAAGTTGACCTGAAAAGGGGAGCCCTGCTTTAGGCCATTCCCAAAGGGGGGATATTAACATGTTCTTATGCACAGTAGAATTATAAATGGGCTGATTTATAACTGTCATGTTCATACTGTGCCGGAATAACATATAGGGGGAACTGCCGCTTTTTCTTTCCTCTTCCTTTCTATCTTCATTTTCCCTCTACTTTTTTGTATGTTTGTCGCTCTCTTGTGAACTGCTATTTCTGGGGTGCCTTGATAGTCCAAGCAGACTTTGTGCTGTTGAGGCTAGAGAGGTGAGCTGAGTAAGCCTGATTTCCCGTATGGACTTTTCTGTTGACATCCACCCCTTGGGGCTCATATGACCTTATGCAGTTGCGAGGGCTGTAAAACCTTACTAAAACTAAAACTAAAGTTAACAGATTCCACTGTATTTGAAAAATTTTAACCTCTTGTTCATCTGAGACTGTGAGTAAAATTTTTGTGTTCATACTTTTTCGTACATTTATACTCTGCTTTTCAGAAATTCAAATGGATGAAGTCAGTGAAGCTGAGATGGAAAAGTTTCATGACAATAAACAAGAGATGGATAAATACCTGGGCCCTTATCCTTATGAGAGGTTTGTGACTATTGCTTTTTGACAGTACTCTAAGTTGCTGGTAACTCATAACAGTGGCAGTAGTATGCTCTATGACTTAGAAAAGTGGCAATAGCATCTTCATGCCAATATATCTGTGTAGTGCAGAATATAACCCAGTGCAATGGCAGTTGTAAGTTCATACCAATGTCTGTCTAGCAAAGAATATGACAATACAGTGGCAGGAGCACATTCGTGCCAATGTCTGTCTAGCAAAGAATATAACCCAGTGCAGCGGCAGTCGTTTATTCATGCCAGTGCCTGGCTCACAAGAAGCATCTCCTATAGATAGTCGCACAGATAATTCGGTGCCAGCCCACTTGATGGTCTCCCGCAATGTTTCTGTTCTACTTAATGGTCTACCATCAGACCTGTCTGACAACTGTTCTGCAGGGTGGTCTTTTAGTCTACTACAATTTACCAATATTTCTCTGGGACATAATTTATACAGGCTTAGGACTGACACTAACTGTATTAAAAATGTTTTAGTGGTTGCAATTTGTCTGGATGGTCGGGTGAGGGAAAGCTGCCCCCCCCCCCCCCCCCCCCCCATTTTCTTGAAAGTAGTGCATTGGGATGTGGGAATGATTGTACATCATGTATAAAATTACTCTGTGAAGGTGTTATAGTAGAACACATCTTCAGGGTAGTCCTTCAGGACTTTCAATAGACCACTTTATTGCGGTAGATGGCCTAAGATGGTCAACAACATCATTGCAACATGGTGTACAGCGCACTCAGACATGCATGACTCCAGAACACAAATTCCTGGAGCTGAAGGTTTAGTCCTTTTTTTTTTTATCCCTAATTTCTGCTATAAATTGAGAGCGTGTACTAAAGATCAGATATTTCGACTTTATTCCGTTTGAAATATTACTTGGATAAGGTTAACACGATACCTTTTATGATCAAATCTTTGTTTCTACTTGTGGCTCTGCTCTTACTTTGCCCAAAATTGCTCCATGAAATATTTTATGATAGAAAAGTATGTAGGGCCTATTACAGTGGAGTCCACTTATAACGAGTCCTGAAACAACGAGAAGTCTGTTATAAAGACACTATTCTAAAACCCCGTTTTTTTCCCTTCTTTACCTTTGTAAAAAAAATACTGCTATAGCGCACTCGGGCAAACACGGTAGTCGGTTATAGCGGAATATTGCTGCTGCTTTGCACAGCGCACAGTTGCGACTGGGCTTTTTCACCAGTCACAAGCGTTGAAGACTGGCGTTTTTGGGGGTATTTCAATAAATCACCACAACTCTCAGAATTACCCTATTGTAATCATTTTTAGACACAGTAAAGTAACACTCAAGCTTAATTTAATACAAAAAACTAAAGTTGTCTAAGTCTAATACTTTAATTTGTATGATTTTTTAAAAATTGGCATGAATTTGATTTTCCGAAAAATTTCCAGAGACGTGACAAGTAGAATGAAATTCACTGCAACAACAAAAATAAAAGTTCAAAGTGTTCTGGTTTGATTTGTATACATGTGCGAGTGTTTGGTGAAAATATAAAAGCTGGTCTGTGCATTGATTCAGACCCATACACTGAATTACATGAGACAGATGTACGGCACGACGTTGTGATTTCGTTGCGCGAAAAACAACACCGGTACTAGTGCTAGATCTAGCCCTAGAACTACGACTCGGGCCGTGTTCGGGTACATATCCAGGATCCTAACTATTAGACACATTATATTCTGAGACACTAGAACTAGTAAAACGCACAGAAGTATAGAAAACGGCGAAATTATGTGATTCTTGTTCATGCGACTTTTTCGACTGTTACTACGACGCGACTGTCGGATTACTATGAGCTGTATAGAAAAAAACAAAGCGCGAGTTCCGGGCTGTTCAACCCCAGGTGGGGTCACTGTCCTTCACCTTCAATAACTTAAAAACTACCGGCCCCAGAGATACGAAACGAAGTCTAAGTAGCTCAGGCTTGGCCAAACAAGGGTACGAGACGGGTCTCGCGATCCGTGCGTGATTTGTAGAGCGAAAAAAAAATTCCAAAGTTGGTCACGCAGGGCTTGTGAGACCCGTCGCGGCGGGGGTCACGCAACTGTTGTGTGACCCGTCTGAAGTGAGTTAAGAAACTTGTCGGTGATCTAGCGAAACCTAAGGCCTTACACCAACTACTTGAACGAAACAAAGAATAGGAGAGCCCACGTTTGCCAACAATGAAGGCCATGAGCGAATGAGTGGGGAGGGTGTGGTAAGCGCAGACAAGCAGAACGCATCGTGTGATAGGCCAGCCTAGTCTAGATTATCTAGGCCTACCACTACGGTGACTACCCATGCCCTCACTTCTCCGAAGCGTGGATGGAGAGGTCACAATGCTGTGATGGATGGAGTGATGTGTAGTAACGTACGCAAGCAGACGAAACACACCACGGGGTGCGGTGGGGTGGGGGCCAACGCAGCGGGCGAGTTAGCCCAGAGTCACAGAATTCTGTGCCCAGAGTACATTCTTTCTGATCGCCAACACCGTGCTGTCAACATCGCTAGCGCTTGAGAAAGAAACACGATTCGATTTTTGATCAAGTAAGACCTAACTAGAGGTCATGTAGAACAATGTCATCATCAGGGGAGAAAACAAAAAGAAATAAACAGAACACCAAACTTCTACATTAGGCCTACTTTACTATTTCCATTGAATTTATTACTGGATTCCTTACAACGAGAATCCTGGTATAACGGACATTTCGCACCGGTCCCCTCCCTCTTGTTATAACAGGATTCCACTGTATAATAAATTCTTTTTCTTGTTTTATTCAAGCTGTTTAAATCTCCCTTATGTTTCAACCTGGTATTATGTGTTAGTAGTGAGGGAAGAAGTGGGTGAATTAATGAAGGGGGGGGGGGGACAGGGATGAGCAACTGGAAGAAAAAAAATGTGATGTGTTCATAGATGCTATATATATGTATGTGTATTTGATGTCACAGAAGTGGATGAAAGCACACTGATAAATCTTCTAGAGGATTATTAAAAACTCTTTTCTTCCTTCACAGATACAAGCAGTGGGTGTCCCTCTCAAACCACATCACTGATACCACACTGAGGGTGTTACAACCTGACTGTGGTTTTATCTACTCCGTAGCACAGTTTGAGTCCGAGGGAAGCACGTCTCAGTCCCGTCAGGCTAGCGCGGTGGAAAAGTCAAAAGAAGCATCAACGGAAAGCTCTTCTTCCAGTCCTCAGAAACCCGAACTTCCTCATCTTAAGCAGGTCATAGGAACAAACATTAAGTACAGTGTTGTTCCGAAGCAGAGGTATCCCCCTGGCTCAAGCCCCAGCGAGATCACAAAGTACAGCATGGATTCTTCTTACGTTCTGAGTCTGTTGCTCACAGAGAGATATAACAAAGACATAGACTCGATTCTGGGAGAGGTGCAGTTTGCATTTCTCTGTTTTCTTCTGGGACAGAATTATGAGTCCTTTGAACAATGGAAGAAACTCGTTCACCTGTTGTGTACTAGTGAAGAAGCAATCATGAAAAATCCAAAGGTGTATCAGGATTTTATCTCGCTTCTTCATTTTCAGGTTCGGGAAATCCCTTCTGATTTTTTTGTGGACATTGTTACTTCAAATAATTTCCTCACAGTTACTCTGCATGAATTATTTCAAAACCTTGAGGGTGATGGTGTTGATTCAAAGTTGCAGAAGAAGGGTCATAGCTTCAGAAAACATCTGACAGAAAAGTTCAACTGGGATTTTACTTCAGAGCCAGATGACTTCGCCCCAGTTGTGGTTGACACTTGAATGTGAAGATATTTGTTGCTATTACTATTAATGTTATTCCGGTAAGAGTTGTGTTCAGATCTACTCTTGCCTTCTTTGATAACAGGGTCTCCATTACGACAGGTGTGCTGCCAGTACTTGTTGTGGTCAATGGTGGAATGTCTCTGTAAAAGTACCGGCAAAACCAGGAAAATGTAACTGGTTCTATAAGTTATAAGTTACTGTGAATTCTTTGACATCTTTGATGCGATGATGTTGCATTCTAAAAAAGTTTAATTTAGGTGTGGGGAGATTGTTTTACTAAGTATCATTCTGCCATGCTGTGATGTAACATGATCCCTTTTAGTTTAGTCCTGAGACTGTATTTCGATTTTTTTGCATGTACTGAATTGTCCCTCAGGCTGTTTCCAGGATTTAAATCTAAATTTCTCTGTGTACAATATTGAGAGATTTGTCGCAGCACTGACATGGTATGCATTTTATGTGTATTCTATCAAGTGTGTATTACTTCTTAGCTCACCCTGGACTATATTTTACCTCTCATATATATTTCTGAAATTTACAGTATTGTTTATGATTCAGTCATCAAAAGTATGTTTTTCGTTTAGAATTACCAGTCTTAAATGACAGTTAATTGTTTCATCTGGAATAAATGAATAAATCCCTTAAATTTTTTTAAAGCCCTCTTTTGTTGCTTTCTATAATAACTTGTCACCCTACCCATCATGCTCAGGCAAGTGTCTGTTGTGTAATATAGATAGGCCCTTCACAGATGCATTCGGGAGAAAGTTAAAGTTAATTTGAATACATGTAGGCTACTGTCCAAACCTATCCAAGGTGACCACCCATTCCTGAGGAGCAAGGTGATCATCTTAGGCAGGTAGTTCTCATTGACTGTGTCAATATCATAGAAAAAAGAAGGGGGGTTTTGGCGGGTGGGGGGTGGGCGGGCGCGGGGTGAGTGGTTGTTTGTACAGTACAGGGGATTGTCTTAGGCTGGTGTTTGTCAGAACAGTTTCAACTGTATTTGAGTCTGTCAGCTGGGGCGTATCCTTCGCAACTCGGGTTGACAAGGTCAAAGCAGTCTGCCTACAAAATAAATTGTATGGGTGATTGGTTGATGCTCTGGTGTGGTTTGCTTCTTGTTTCCTATCAAACCTCTATCCTACTTTTCTTTTTTTTATGTTTGTTACTCCCTATAATCTTTGGCACCTGTATGACTTCAATGTGTTGCAAGTTCCGTAAAACACTTACAAAAACAAAAATCAAATGGAGAGACAAGAAAACCAAAAAAGATGTCTACCAAATAACAAGAACATCACCATGGCTTCTAAACAAAATCAAAATGAGAAAACTGAAACATTTTGAAGAGACACAACTCATTGCAAAAAGAAAAACTAGACGGCAAGTTAGAAGGGACGAGGGCAATCAGAAGGGGGAGACTACTATGGACTGACAACCTAAAGTGGAATGCACGATCACTGGAACATTGCGCCAGAGCAGCTGAAAAATATAGTGAATGGCGGGTCATTGCATGTCAACCATAATATATAGAGACGTCCAAGGCTAGAATGGCATCTCCAATCAACCAACCATTTCCCAGATTCTTAGGTGGAGTTCTTCACTGTTTGCTCATAGAAGACGTCTGTGCTCAGAAGGATAAATTATTGAGTATGCAAAAAAATGTAGAAGTAATCATGGTAGCTCCGCCTGCCTGCTGAGTTTAACCAGCAGTATTACTGTAAACTCTCTGGTTTAACCCTATCCGTAAGTGGTGTTTTACTATCGTATCCATACGACGTGGGGAACTCTGTGCCACCACTTTCCAAAGAGGAAATTTACTCGTTAATCCGATCCGTGTGCTTTGCATAGCAGTCTGTCAAAATGATTTTTTGAGAAATACTGAAAGTTTTTAAGAGATCTTCGTACTAGAAGTATTCTAAAATATATAAAGAATACAATCCCGGGGGTACAAAATGACCGCAGGGCGTACGGATAGGGTTAATCCTTCTCAGATTCTCAGCCTAGATTGATCCCAGTTGGCATCTGTGGTGTAGCGGTTTGTTGCTTTGCTGTCAAACGCAGAAGATGTGAGTTTGATTTCTGCATGTGTATGTGTGTGTGTGTGCAGGGAGGGGGGGGGAGATAATGGTAATCGAGTGTCTCCATTATTGTCTGATGATGACTTTAAACATAAATTTAAGTCATGCTGATATCAAAATCAATTGCCAAAGACAAATTTATTGAAACAAAAAAAAATGTAATACCTATTCCCTCTAGTGCTACCAGCAGGCAGGAATCATCAAGACCATCATGTACAGAATACAACATGATACAAGGTTTTCCACTCAATCTCAACAACCTGTTTTTGCACAAGGCAAGAACGATATAAATCTACACATCCTCACCGATTGTCTAATGAGACATTGCGTTCCTCTAAGACATTGTCACTGTTGGGGGGGGCCTAGAGGTTAAGCGGTGTTCGCCTCTCATTTAAAGGTCTCGGGTTCGAATCTGGGTAGCGACCGAAACATTTTCTTCTCTAAAATTGTCTCCTTTCACCTTCTTTCCTGCTCTCTGGCAATGTTTTGTCGTCTGCTTTCGTCTCCACTTTTTGCCCCATCCCCGTCACCCCCTTTGCCCTCTCCTCTGGACATCTGACTCTTTCTGCAGCCTCTCTACTGCTACTCCTTGGCTCCTTCTTACTGCTGTCTTTCAGCCACACCCCTGATCTTCTGGTAGGAAAGATCTACACCTAGCCTTCTCGGAAAAGGGCGAAAAATCTCGGAGGGCCTATGTGCAAGTTGCGCTCATAAAAGATCCCTTGGTGGTCTAAAATCGATAAGAGGTAGGCTTCGGCCGCCACCCGGGCAAAAATTCAAAATTTCCTACCAACTGAAAATGTTTGGTGTGTCCCCCGCGCTCATATGACCTTATGCAGTTTCGAGCGCCATAAAAGACTTACCAAAAAAAATGTTTTTAGACATTGTGTCTCACAGCAGCAGTCAACTGCAGTGAATGGCAGTACTCTGCACGTCAAAGTCAAACACAGTTTTCTCTCCTGTGGTGCAGCATACCATGAAGTGTGTACAGTGCTGCAGGATAATTATGGTAGCTATCCTTTGGGTCATGGCCACATCATCACATGGGTGCGTCTCTGACTTAAATACTGAGGGTAACATACTATCTCAGTCTATTGTGGTTGTCGTGGAGTCAGAAGATTGTGACCTGATCTGTCCTACTTGGGAGGTAATTGGGGTCATGTTTGTTGGAAAACTGGGTAGGCGTTGTTCCGTCTGTTTTTGGTAGGAAAATTTGTAAGGGTTTTGGACTCTGACATGTCCATCCATCCACAGCCTCAGCCATGTTTGCCACTTTCTTCGCCAACCCTTCTGTGATTTTATTTCTGGAACATTTCAGTGACCTGGTACTTGTACATTGTATCCAGTAATGGGGGGTATTGACTTGAAAGTTGAGATCGTACAGGAGTAAGAGGAGTACAAATGTAGTTGAATATATCGGCACATAAAACTGTGGGCTTTTGAGCCATTGTAGTAGATTTCCCATCTACTGTAAGGAGGATTGTTTGATTTAAAGTTTTGGTGGTTCAAGAGTACGTACATGGATGCTGTTTTGAATGGCCTTGTCTCTGCTTATTTTTCCAGTGAGAGCAGCATGTTCAAGGCTTTTATTTCAGATCGAATTAAGTGTTCCAAAAATTGCATTTGTCTCTTCCTAATTGTTATTACTAGTTCTAGAGAACAACCCGCATAGGATTCTTTCATTTTCACCCCATTCAACTAATTCGTTTAATTTCTTTTACTTCCTGAGAACCATATTTCTGTTGCTTTTATTTAGTTTTACTGTCTTATTCTCAGAGGAGACGGGTTATCTCACACAGCCTTTTAAACCTCTTATTGATATTGTGGGTAGTTGTTGGGTGCTCTGGTGTGGTCTGCTCCTTCTTTCCTGTCAAAAATCTGTCATCCTTATAATCTCTCTTCTTCGTCCTTTTTATGTTTGTTACTCTCTTGTAACACCTCTAATCTTCGGCACTTATATGACCTTATTGTGCTGTAAAACTCTTACTTAAAAAAGTCATTATTGGTAGTCATTGAGATGCTTCTATTTTTCAGGATTGGATCCATTTTATTGAAACTGTCTTTAATTAATCACCTCTCAGCCTCTAAGTTAAGTTAAGACCGACGAAGTGGCTATTCACAGCCGCTGGAGGCTATTCGGACTCAAATTCCAGTGCGTGTGCGCAATCACCGGTTCTACCCATAGTTACCCCCTTTTGATTTATACCTAAACCTATAGTGTACATCTATGGTTGTACCGTACTTTTTTTTGGGTCTAGACTCGAGTCCGAATGGTTTCCCCGTTGCTATTCGGACTTTAAACTACTGGTAGTTAGTAGTGGTAGGCTATTACACTGCGTTTTGCGACTACAAATATAAAGGGATCAAAACATAAAATTCATAATCAGTCCTTAAAAGACAGCCCCCCCCCTCTTTCTCTCTCTCTCTCTCTCTCTCTCTCTCT